TAACCAGACAAAGTAACTGGGTGGGGGAGGGTTGAACTGTGTACAGCCTTTGTTCCGCTGTGGTATTTTGACGATTCGATTTTTCAAAAGAAGTATTATCATCATTTGAGGCGTAATACCCAAATTAATAAGTGTCACGTGACTGAATGTGCAACTGGAGCTCTGGTGTAGTTATCTTGATACCTCACGGCAAGAAAGTAATAAAAACTGGGTTTAAATTCTCGACTGGATGTCTGCGAATCAAAACAAGGCTGCAGAACACTAAGCAATGACGTTAGTGGATCAGAGAGAGGTAACACTATTCTATCACAGCACGGTGGAATCAGGCGCCCTTCAGGTTTGGGGCATTAGTCCGAGAGCTGGGTCTATGTACAAGTACTAGAACCTTGTTTTTTTTATCATAAAGTTTTTTTCTCTGGTGATTTTGCTTCGTTAGGGTCTCTAGACTTCATATCAGTCGGGGGCCAACTTGTATCTAATGGGCATAATTTTTTCTGCTGGTTGAAATACACCAACCCGTTTCTAGGGCTGGGCAATGAGTCGCTTTAGCAAAATCCGGATAATATGCTAATCCACCTCTTCGGTAAATAATAATATGTTATGAACCGCTTCGACAAATTGGAATTGGTTAGAACCACTTGGACAAATGGGTTAGCATCACTTCAACAAGTGGGTGCGGTCAGGAAAGAGTGTTAAGAGTCTGAATTAGGATAATGTTTCATTGAGAATTATCCGGTTATCCGGATAGTTTATCCGCATTTTGCCCACCTCTACCCGTATCATGCAAGAATGATTGCCGAGCTACTCGTGGACGAGTCGACCAAGATTGGCGCGGGGGTGCTAACGCTAACAGCTCCTCTCGCCGTGATGTCACAGGCTGCACCGAAAGGTGCACAGCACGCCTGCTGTCCCCCCTCGTGATACGGACTCAGCTAACAAAGAATGGAGACACTACACCTCCGTGTAGATTACTAAAAACTAAAGTTCGACAGAATTGAGCGTCAATCGTAGTATCATCACAGAAGGTCGCACGGCGTGTTTATGGGCTGAAAACAAAATGCAAGTGTTCCTCTCTTCAACACCGAACCAATAAACATAAACACTGATGTACGTGTAGAATTCACTAATACTATGGGCATGTTAAGAAATTGAGAACTGTTTGCAATAGCAGATATACACGAATACATGCACTATGTTTCCTGAGTCATTTTATAAAGCAACAGTGTGGTTTTGAGAATTCTAAACGATTCATTCAGAGGGGGGGGGA